GTGCAGGGGGCAGTGGGCAGGCTGTGAGAGCCCCCTGTGTGCAGGGGCAGTGGGCAGGCTGGAGCTGAAAGCATCCCCTCTTTTGTTTTTCAGGTTTGCGATATTCAGAGCCCCGGCGGGTTGCCAGCCCCCGCCCCGTGTGCCGGCCCCGCATGCACTGTGCTGGTGACCCCCATCCCACCACAGATCCACCCTGGAGCTGGCCCCGGGGGTAAGGTACTGTGCCACCAACACCTCCTTTTTAGTGTCTTACAGTACAGTGTTGCATAATTTGCTAAGCATTTTAGTCTTCCTACTCCTCTACTTCCTACTCAAGTAGATCAGACATTAGAAAAACACGGAGAATTGTCAGACCATGGGACTTATCTTGCCCTCGTGTTGTCCCTCTGGCTCCTGTGGTGGGTGTGATATCACCAGCATAGTGCATGCTGAGGCATCACATGGATTGGGAGCTGGCAATCCACGGTGAATCTGGACATCACACACCTGAAAACAGCCAAGGAAGGTAAGTTTAACACTGGAGCTGTGCTGAGTTTTCCTTTAAACCTTGTTTATTCAGGAGGATTCAGCATATATTTATAAAGGTTCTCTACTGTGTTTTTTCACTCACTTTTAAGTGACAAGATAATAATACATAGTGTTTCTGGTGCATAAGTCAGATCTGGAAGACACTTTGATATTCCACTGACAGAAAGTAAACATTCCTGTTGCTGTGAGCCATCCCTGGGAAAAGCAGGGATAACTTAGCACTGATGGGATAGCAGTGATTGAAGTCATAGAACTAAGACAATAGAATATTTTCATTATCTGCTTTTAAAAAAAGTAGCATTTTCTAATCTGACAAAGATTACTTGTCCTGCTGTGTTGGTTGCTTTCCTCTTATACAAATGTGTTTAAAAAATAGATGGAAACCACGAAATTCCCTTCATTTAAGACAGCATTTCAAGCAGCAGCAATTGCCAATTCAATGTGTTTTGTTGTGGTGGTATTTGAAACAAAAGGCACATCTTACAGATAACAGTCTATATTGGTATCATTTTCTCAGTCCAGTTTATATTTTCCAAATTTCATTGTATTACGCATTTGTTTTTGTAGAAAAGTCATTCCAGAGGCCCTGGATACACACACTTGCTGTTAGGTTTCCATTTTTTTTAAGCTTGAATTGTAAAGACTGAAGGTCTTTGAATATACACAGGATGGTTAATGTGTGGGAGTAACCATAAATTTTAATAGTACTGTTGTAAGTTTGCCCCTCTAAGACAGAACTCCCCATTTTTTAAAGGCTATTGAAGATTTGAGGGCTTTACTTGAAATAGTAGAACCCAGTATGTGAGTGTACATGCTATATTCATGTTTTGGGTGGTTTTTTTCTGAAAATATTCCTATAAAAATTGAAAAAATCCTCATTTTTTCCCTTTATGTGATTTTTGTTGCATTGCAGTTGATCTGAAGGCAACTCTCTGAAATTGTGTGGTTTTTTTCTTACATTATTTCACCAGCTCCACAGTGGTGCACAGTCACTGGCCCACAATACTAGTTAAATAGTTGGAAATTTTGCCATAAAGAAAACTTCTGATCACATATGTGATTGCCCCCCTGTTCTGCAGGAAGTTGCCATTGTTAAATAACCTCCCAGGAAAGAAATACTCATTTCTGTCAAACTGATAATGTTATAAAATTATAATGTTACAACATTATAAAATTTAGGAGTTTAGAAAAAGTTGGTGTTGCTTGAGTCAAAGATTTGAAAATAACTTTATTACCACCTCCCAATTCTAAATTTACAGGAACAGCTTACAGTTAGTAAGCTTTGAAATATTCTCTCAGGGTTTTGGCAGCATTTCTAGTCATACAACTCTGTATGAGTTGTGAGTTACCTCCAGTCCTTCAAAGACTCAGACATGCAGCAGAAATGGTCATTGTACTAAAACTCAAACAGATACTTATCATTTTGAAGACTATGGATAAGAAACTTTTATAAGAAGCTTTTTATAAAAGCCTTGCAGAAAAGAAAATGGTCTTTAATAAATTCAAGCATAGTAAATGTATGGAAATACTTTTTCCAAAATAAGTATATTCTAGCTTCTCCACTTTTCCTTTTGGAGTTCTAATAACTCCACCATGTCAGCATAACAAATATCAGTCTGTTACAGCAGGTGCTGTAACACTCCCAAGTGGATATAAAGGTGTTCTAATAACCTGGTGCTGGTAAACTTGAGTGTCAAAGGAATATTCCAGGCTCTGTGGCTCTCTCAGCTCTGGTGTTTGACTCTTCTGTCCTGCCAGGTAACATTAACACCATGCACTACACGTCAGACTCTCCCAGATTAAGGTGCTGATGTTGCTGGCATCAATTTCAGTAGATATTTAGAATGGGTTTTATTTAAAAAAAACAATTCCCCAAGCAGATTTTTAATTTTTTTCTCATGATCCAAGTTTGGTATTTTTCAGCATTGGACTTAATCTGTTGTATATGAAACCCCCCAGCTAAACCAGCATTTTTGAAGTGTTTTCCATTTAGTTTTCTTACTTTACAGAGGTTCTAAAATTAAAAGAAATACTTCCTTGTACTTACCTACATTTTGTCTAGTCGTGTCCTCAGTAACTTCTGTGCTCATGTGCTGCAATCCAAGGTTAGTGAAGCAGAGATGAGGTTTCTCAGTGCTGTGGTAGTTGGATAGTGTTCTGTGGAATCCTGTCTGTGAGTGGGAAGAGCTTAGTTTGGGATTGCTGGGGTGGATTCCTGCCCTGCTGCAGGAGGGGCATTCCCTGGCAGGCTCTGACCCTCCTCGTGGGGCTGCCTGGAGTGTTAAAGGCTCCAGTAACTCCAGTTCAGCCCAGTGCTGGTTAAAGCAGCTCTTGGGAACTGTCACCACTGCCCTGGGGCAGGAACTGGCAGGGGACTGGGGACCAGCCCAGCTCTCCCCAGGTGAGCCAGCCTTCCCTCAGGGATCCACACCGAGTCCTGGAAGCTGCTGTCACTTTAATGCTCATTGCCAGAATCTTTTAACTCGTGTACACATATTTTAATGTCCCGTGTGCAGTAAATTGCTGTTTCCCTGGAATGGGTGTAATTCAGGTTTTGTTTCCATTCTGTGGAATTCTCCTCCATTTTGAGCCCTTCAGTGGGTGTTGAGCATCACACAGGTTTGTGCTGCCCATCTGCACAGGAGCTAATTTTATCCCCCAAGAGAAGTGTGTTGGTACATATGTCAGAAAGATGCTTAGTTCAGTGGCCTTTGTGCTGGCAATTTGGGATGAATCTTAGGACATCTATGAGAATGCCCTTTTTACCAAAATAGTGCTGCTTTTAGTAGTTTGAATGTATTCTTTGTTGTACAACTACAATGAGCATTTTGATTATATAGACCAAATAATCAGTGAGTTGTGTACATAAAGGATGAGAAGTCAATCTCACATAGCAGTATTTGGATTTATTGTCACTGCATCATTTAATCAGCTCTGTATTATATTATAATCTTCATTAACACGTTTTCAAGTGATAAAGTGGATAAAATCATAATTTCTTTTAGGAAGAAGATGTCAGATTTTTAATGCACACTTTAACTGGGAATATACTCCAAGTCATTACACTTGACTAGTTTCAGCTACTAAATCTGAGTCACCAGTGTATCAGAGTACTGAAACTTTTGGGGACTCTTAGACTGTAACAGGCAATTCTGGGTTAGTTTTTAACATTATCGGATAGATGTGAAATTATTGAAAGATTTTTGCTCTCTAAATGTAATAGTTTCAGCCATAACCAGTTATCTCATTCCCTTTAATGACAGGCTCCCTCTTGTGTCCTTCATTCTGTAATTCCTGCTGTGTTCCTTGAATTGCAGTAAAATGATACTGAACTTCTGGAATCTCCTTGAGCTGTTTTGTAAAGGCCACTTATGAATACAAACCTTTACTGTGCATGGGGAGAATAGTGGAGAAAATCGTGCTGCTGGTTACTTTGACTTCTAAAAATGTGTTTGAACCTCATTATTGTTCTCTTCTCGTTACAGTGGATGATGTTGGGGAGAAGTTGGACCACATAGGAAGCACTCCCTTGAAGATCAGCACCGAGGTGGCGAACGATGACGTTGCCAAAGATGATGGGTTTGGCTCAGAAGTTATCAAAGTGTACATATTTAAAGCTGAAGCTGAAGATGATGTTGAAATAGGTACCTTTAAATTCTATTTATTCTTCCAGTAGTGTGAGGAGTTTCAGGGTCTTTTTGTTTGTTGTTCTTTATTCCACGTAACCCAGTGAACGGAGTGTTTTGTAGGACATGACATGGGGGTTGTTCAGGTTTGAATTTTTCAGGGTACACTGAAAGACCTTTTTCCTCCTCTCTTCTGGAGTATCAAACCTGTGTGGTTTTGTGACAGACCTGAATGTAAAAACACATAATTGGAATTTTATGGAAAAATAGTTTTGTTGTAAACAGGGAAAAATACTTAAGTGTGAAATTAAAGGTGGCTTTGTTCACATTTACTTAACATGTGTAACTTTGTTATTTCTTTTTGTTAAAGGTGGGACAGAAATTGTCACTGAGAGTGACTTTCACAATGGCCATTCTGTAGCTGGAGTGATTGAACAAGGAGGTGTTGGGAGAATGCAGCGAGAAAAAATGGTTTACATGGCTGTTAAGGACTCCTCTCAGGAAGATGAAGATATTAGTAAGCATAACCGGAAACATTTTTGTTTTTCATGCTATTTGTACGCCAATATAACCATCATTCTCAAGGACATTTTTAATTTTTTTCTGAAGGATTCTTCAGCCTGGAGTAGTAGAAAACTAAGCTCATCTTCCCTAAAAAAATCAAAAGCAGGCAATGATTATTTTAAAGTGTTGTGGATAGTGCACTTTGTGCTTACTGTGTGCAATCATTTCGTTATTTATATTAACTTTAACATGTCCATGGATGGGGTTAATGAGGTTAGTCAAACTTTCATTTTTCTGTTTTCCTCCTGTGAATTAAGCAGCTTTCTGGCAAAGTAGCAAATGCCATCAGTTGCAAGTTTGTAAGTTTGCATATTTGAAATTTTGTTGGTATTTGGTTTGGATTTGCATTTATTGATAAGTGTTTTCTCTCTTTAAGGAATGTCTGAATAAACAGTGATGCCCTAAGGGCAGAGGTGGTTCTAAATGCCACAGGAAGAAAAGTAGTTTATAATGGGTATCAAGCAGAGTGGGAGCAAATTAAATGAAGGAAAAGTTAGGATGAGCAGAATAAAACTGAAGATTTATTCTTCTCCCCTTGTCCAGGCTGTGCTGAAATAGCAGATGAAGTTTATATGGAAGTTATTGTAGGTGAAGAAGAAGCTACATCCCTTCCAGACACCCAGCTCGAGGACTCTGGCGTGAATAAAACGTTTGTCCCTGTTGCTTGGGCTGCTGCTTACGGTAGGAATCTGTATTTCCTGAAATCCCATCCATTATTCCCTCCCTCATCCAGCTTCCTGAATCTCTGGGCAAACGTGACGATCTCTCACCTCGTTCTAGGAGTTTGGAAACAGCTCCTCCTGATCCCTCTTTTGTTTCATGAGGTAGAAAGGAAAGCTGTTAGGAGAGGTTTTATGCTGTTCCTGATCCCAGCTCAGACGTGTGTGGGGTTTGATGGTTTATGGTGGCTGTTGAAGATCTTAGAACAACAAGAACAGCCTTAAGTATTTTACATTGGCTGGGGGGAAGGGGGAAAAACCTGAAGTAGGAATAAATGTGTAAACATGTTCCTAATAATTTCAGTTTATGCAAGTGTTCTAAGCCTATTAGTCCTTCAGGTTAGAAACAGAAAAAAGGTGATTTGTTCTCTATAGCCATGTTTCAAATAGTGGAACTGTCTTAGGATATATTCTGAATTCTGTCTATTCTTTTATATGATTTTCTTGGATTTTGATGCATTAAATGTTTGTTAAGAGGGTATTGGGTCATCTCTGGTTTATGTTATAATTAAGTAATCAAGTCAGTTAAAATTAATTGGTGTGATGATGCAAGCCCAGGTTGATGAAAGGGTTCAGAACCACAGAGCTTTGACACATAGCAGTGAACACTTCCAGTGCAAAATGGGGAATACACTCCTAAGGTATTCCTTGTACATCTTCCAGAACTTCACAGGGCCTCATGTAGATCAGTGCTGAGAAGCTGATCAGGGCCAAGTCCTCTTATCAGGCTGGTCCTACTCCAGGAAGATAACGTGCTTCCATCTCAGGAACATTGCAGATAACCTCTGGATTGGTATCTGAGCTGATAGATGAGGTTAAAAGTTTGCAGAAACAAGCATGTTAATTTTGAAAAGCAGGAAAGCCAGCATGGCAAGCATGCAAGCACAGATTTAGTGGATATTAACTCTCCACAAAGATGAGATTTTGTTTCCTGGGGCTTGTGACTACAGAACACTGAACTGATTGTGAGCTGCACATCTCCCTTTGGATGGTGTCAAGCTGTTATTTATTACCTAAGTTATTTTTCTCTCATTATCAGACTTTCAAAGCCATCATGTTTAAAAATAATTTTAATTTATAATGACTAAAATACCATTTTCTGCAGGAGATGAAAGAAGGCTTCCCCGAAGATACGAAGATGGTCAAGCGGCAGGTGAGAACTTGTAACAACATTAAAACTGCTGTGCTGTCCTTGAAAATGTGTGCATTTATGTGTCAGGGAATTCTATATTGAAGGACTCCATAGTCTTTCTCTACTATTTTGAGTTAAAGCAATTCTAGATGTCTGGAGGCCTTTGGAGGGGTGGGAAGTTGGGAGGCGCTGCCAGGTTGTTAATGCAGCGTTGCAGACAGAAGAGGGGTAATGCAGCTCTTAAGAAGTAAAAATAAGTTAAGTAGAAGGGAACAATCAGCATAACTCATAAGAAATTAATGTGTTGAGAAGTAAGAAAAATCAAGGAATATATTTAAAAATTAATCAGTATTTAAGCAATTATATTCCTGACTTTTGCCAGGAAAGAGAGAGTGCTTTATATTGGCATTTCTCTTTATGTGTGTTCATGGTAGAGAAAGGGCAATATTTGTTTTTAAAATGCTGCTGTGCAATTCCAGTCATCAGTCCCAAAGAAACAAGTTGTTTAAGGTTTTTTATGGTGTCTAATTTTTGTTTCTAGGAAATAACTTGGATACACGATTAGAAAACAAAAACGGTAATGCAACACAGTACCTGCAGATTTGTGATAGCATTGGCACTAATAGAGTGCTCAAACAAAAAGCCAAGAAAAGGAGGAGAGGAGAGGCCAGGCAATGGCAAACAGGTAAACACTGGATGGCTACGGTATTGTCATGGAGTGCCACCTACTCCTGTGCTATTCCTTTTCTCTTTTTTAAGCTGATGCAGAATTAAAAGCTCTAAATGATGATTTGCATATTTCCTGTGTCCTTCCCCCCTCCAGTTCTGTGCATAGAAAATGTCATATTTTTGCTATTCAGAGTCAGTACACTCAGGGCTGATGCAATTCATTGGAATGTTGCAAGCTATTAGAAAGTAACCGTGGCTATATTCACTGCACATGTGATAATTCCTGATCTATTGGAGCAGTTCCTAAAATTATATAAACTATAGGTGCTGTGGATTGGTTGTTTTTAAACTACTGAACCACTCTCTCTGCTGCAAGTGTAAGTGCATGAATCTGAACAGCACTTGGCTGATTTAAAACTTCATCAGTAAATGTGTTTCCTTCATAACTTGTTTTTGTTTGTTTAAAAACAGCTGTTATAATAGGTCCTGATGGACAGCCCCTAACAGTTTACCCTTGTCATATTTGTGGGAAAAAATTTAAATCCAGAGGATTCTTGAAAAGGCATATGAAGAACCATCCTGATCATATGATTAAGAAGAAGTACCAGTGTACAGACTGTGACTTTACAACTAACAAAAAAGTAAGTTTCCACAATCATCTGGAAAGCCATAAACTTATAAATAAGGTTGATAAAACTCATGAGTTTACAGAGTACACGAGAAGATACAGAGAAGCAAGCCCCTTGAGTTCCAACAAACTCATCCTGAGGGACAAAGAGCCCAAGCTACATAAGTGCAAATATTGTGACTATGAGACTGCAGAGCAGGGACTACTGAACAGACATCTGCTGGCAGTCCATAGCAAGAACTTCCCTCACGTGTGCGTGGAGTGCGGGAAGGGATTCCGCCACCCCTCGGAGCTGAAAAAGCACATGAGGACCCACACGGGGGAAAAGCCATACCAGTGTCAGCACTGTGTGTTCAGGTGTGCTGACCAGTCCAACCTGAAAACTCACATCAAAACCAAACACGGCACTGACCTGCCCTTTAAGTGTGAGCACTGTCCCCAGGCCTTCGCCGACGAGAAGGAGCTGCAGCAGCACATGGAGTTGTTCCAAGGGCACAAGACTCACCAGTGTCCCCACTGTGACCACAAGAGCACCAATTCCAGTGACCTGAAGCGACACATTATCTCGGTTCACACGAAGGACTTCCCCCACAAGTGTGAGGTGTGCGAGAAGGGCTTCCACCGGCCCTCAGAGCTCAAAAAGCATAGCGAGACCCACAAAGGGAAAAAGATCCACCAGTGCAGGCACTGTGACTTCAAAACCTCAGATCCTTTTGTACTTAGCGGGCACATCCTCTCAGTTCACACCAAGGACCTGCCTTTTAAATGCAAACGGTGTAAAAGAGGCTTTAGGCAGCAGAACGAACTGAAGAAGCACATGAAGACCCACAGTGGGAGGAAGGTGTACCAGTGCCAGTATTGTGAGTACAGCACCACGGACGCGTCGGGCTTCAAGCGGCACGTCATCTCCATCCACACCAAGGACTACCCCCACAGGTGTGAGTATTGCAAAAAGGGCTTCCGCAGGCCCTCCGAGAAAAATCAGCACATCATGAGGCACCACAAGGAGGCCATAATGTGACCGAGGAGCTGCAGGAGGAGGCGGTGTAGAAACTGTGATAATGCTAATTGGGGAAAAAAATAAATCTCACGAACTGTTTCTCCTGGTTTCAAAGCTTGATATTAAACCATAACTTTACATTCTTTGTATTAAAAGTCTTAAAAGTATTAGGGTTGGCAGGGGATCTCATAGCCCTATGATTGTTGCTTATCAGAACCTAAAGAGCACTATAGAATGGAGAGGTTGGATGAATGTCTTAAAAGTTGCAGGAAGATGGATGAATGTCTTCAGGTGAATAGTATTTCCCGTGGCAAAGTACAGAAGACAGAGCAGAGCTGATTGTGTGACCCATTTTGTCAGTAACGTTTGTCTCCAATATGAAAACAGTTCAGAGTCGTGGTGGGGTGAGTTACAAAAGGTTTGCAAAGGAGCCCAGTCTTCACTTCTTGTGCAGTTTTGAACGGGGGGTTTTAGTCAGTCACTTCATCCCAACGTTTTAATTGTGCCTAGAAATTGAATTCCAGAACTGCTCAAAGTTGGGGGGGTTGTCCCTTGTTTGGTTTGATTTTTTTTTTATTTTTCTTTTTTTGAACATTTCATCAGGAAACTTTTTGGTTTCCTTTATTAGTTTAGGTCCAAGAAGCATTTTTTTACTGGTTTTCAAAGCTGCTAACCTATTTTATTGCAGGATTTGATGTTTGAAATAGAGCACTATGTTATGGTCTCAGAGGTGGTGTTCTGGTGCTAGGGTTAAAGATATATATGTACATAATTTCCCTTTTTTATCTGAAACTACAGTTGAATGTTGTTCAGTATGGCACATATAACAAAATTAACTCTGAATTTGACTTTTTTTTTAAGGATAAAATGGATGCAGCTCATAGTGTTGTGACAACACTAGTTTTTCTTCTCGCTACTTTAAAAATCTTCTTTAAAAAAGAATATTAAAAACAGTTGAAAACTGTAGAGTTGTTTTTTTTTTTTAATTAAAATTCAAAGTACTTAGAAGTTCTTTAGGACAGTGTTCTTAACAGGTATGACAATTACTGTCCTACCTCCTAATAGGAAATTTTCCATGTAGACATAAAATTGCACCTTTCAGTGGATTCTTTTTAAAAAAAAAAAGATCTATACCATGCTATAAACATGCATTTTCAATCTGTAAGAAAGTATATATGCAGTATTTAACCAGAAAAATCTGCTGCCACTAGAGTTTGGAGGTGGATCTTGAGTTTACAGTGTATACATTTAAAATATGCATCCCTTTACAATGCTTTGTGTTAGCATGCTGCAGATCCAATGGCGCTTATATAACGAGCTGGTCTAGGGCTATTTAATGAAAAACCTGGTCATAAATGTTATGCATATAATGTGTATTTTTTACTTTTTTAGTTGCTTCATGTTTGCACACAGCTGTTCACATGAGAAATTGTAACTTCATGCTATATTGTGGCTTTGTGTTCCAGATAATGTTCATATTTTGGTTTTTTTTTTTTTTGCACCAGATGAGAATCAGTTCCTTGAGAATAAATTTTTTTTATATTTCTAAACTTCAGAAAGTTAAATTTGGGAAATCTCTTAGACAAATACGTGTTTTATGTGGCTGTAAAAAATGATGTACACGCTGTAAAATAAGATTGTCACTGTTCTGTGGGATTATTATTTCTAAATGTGTTACTCATCGTAACGGGCATACAATAAAACGCATCTCTTGCACTCCAAAGTTCTTGGAGTTTGCTTTTCATTTATGGTGTTTAGGAAAGTCTCATTCTGTGGAAACTTATCTGATATTTTTAATTGCATTATTCACTAATTAGTATGTAATAACATTTAACCAGAAGCAGGTTACTGGAGGTGTATTTGTCAGGCTGTTGAGGGGAGAGCTTTGGCTTTGATTTGACTAACCCTTTAAACTTACAGGTAATGTGCTTATTTTGTTTATTTCTAAAATTATTCTCAAATGTGATACTGACATTCCTTTGACATTATTTTTCCTTTAAGAGAGCATAAAACTTCTCAAGTGTTTTGGGAAAACTCAGGTAGGTGTTTTTTTCCTTTTTATCTGTGTAATAAGAACAGCTTGCAGAGTGAAATACTAAAAATGCTGCTATCCTAAATTCCCTCTCTTTTTAGGATACTTGAATTACAACATCAGTAGTAGATTAAAAACTTGAAGAAGGAAGTGTGATTTTAAACAAACAGTTCACCAAGGATTTCCAACGGGCTTTGAGCCACTGAACTCGTAGGTTTTGCACCAAAAAGCAGAAGTTAAGCAGGCAGAATGTATTTATCTGGTTCTTGTTGCTGCTGCTTTACTTTGCATGCCCAGCAGTCAGAGGTAGCATTCAAAAAAAAAGTTGTGCTTTCCTGACCATGTTAATGCTTTGTTCCCAAACACTGTGTTGAATACTTGGACTGAAAGAGTTTCTTTGTAGCAGCTCAAAGATGATCACCCTGGCTCTGTGACAAAGCCCACGGCCCTGCTGGCTCCTTTTCTCCACCTTACATGTGGATGGAATAATCACATTCTATAGCAAAGCAAGAGGTTGGTTGCTGTTCTTGACATAAGATTTTACTAGAAAGCTGCATTTTTAATCTTCTGAAATGCAAGAATAAAATGTCACCTGACTCTTCAGCAGTTTAAGACACTGAAGTCTGAAAGTCCCTTTTCAGTGCACTTTCCCAGTAAATATTGAAGAGAATTTTGTTGTTGTGTTGTCACCGTGGAGGTGTCACAGCTCTAAAAATGCTTCCTGTCAAGTCACAGTAAAATGTGTCTCTCAGTACCTCCACAGGTCCCTTTCCCAGTGTTTGTGGTGGGATGCCACTCCACAGAACCTGGAGTGGGAAAGGGGTACAGTGAAGTACCTGCTGTGGGTGGGGCTGTCACTGCTGGGAGCATATGGAGGAAGCTCAGCTGTTGTTTGTGTCCGTCCCTCTGCTCCTGCCATGCTGGATTTGATGGACAAATGGTGCTTGAGCAAGGGGAGTTCCCAAACTGTGCAAGGGTTGTTCTGGAATGGCAGTTGTTTGGTGCAGTTTTATTGGAGTGACAGACTGACAGGTGCAGTTAAAAAATGACTCGCGTCTTGATCATCTGTGTTTTTCTTTCTTCAGGTTTCAAATGCCCACAATTACTAAAATAGAGAGAAAACAGGGAAGAAGAGCCGCACAACACTCTGGAGGTGAGGGTGAGTTACCTGGGTGTGGTCTGTGTGACTCCAGAGCTGTCAGGAACTTCTGAACCAGGGCTCTCTTTGGCTTTTATATCACAGCTGAGGGAGAGAAACTTCCTTGTTACAGAAAGGTCAGTCACAAAAACCAGAAGACAATTTTTCTCCTGCTCTTCAGTGCAAAACCAGACTCTGTTCAGACAGTGAGAGGTTATCTAATAACACTGTTGATAAAGACAGTCAAATAGGACAGACTGTGTATTGTTGTAAATATATGAAGTAAATGCTGTCCGATTTTTCTAATTTGTTCCTGGAAAAAAATGTAGAAATCTTGTTGGAGCTGCCTGACATTGAGGTGGGAAGTTATCTCAAGCAAAGTGTTTATAACTAGCATTTACAGAGCTGAGTAAATGAGGAAAATGTGTTTCTGTAAACTCCAGCAGAAAGCACTTTTAGGTAGATCAGTTCCAGTGCAACAGAAAAGAGGCAACAGCTGAGACCACAGCAAGTAACAGGTACTTTATAATGAAAAATACTAAATCTGCTTTTTAAATAAATCTGGTTTGAAAACAAAGCCCAGCCCATAAAGGACTGGCCACATGCTTTACCTACTAGTCTAATTCAGCTTTCTAACAACTCTCTGCTTTATCTGTGAGTACAGTGTGTAGTTATGACCTGTGCTCTGTAGCATTTACAGTGCACAGTCTACAAATACACCCCCAAGCCCTGAGGAGCTGAGCCTGCTATACCTCCAGTACAGCCACCTGTCCTGAGCAGCAGACTGGGCTCGTTTTGAACAGGTTGCTCGTGCCTCTCTGCTCCAGTGTGGGGAACAGGTGTGCTGTTTTCACTGGGATTTACCATCCTGCCAGCTGCATATGCAAAACACATCATTTGCCTAATGGTGGCCTTTGTCAGGGAACTGTCCCACCACACCCAGGGCCTCCTGTTCAGAGTCTGTGTCTGTCCTCAGGGGCGTTCCCTGCTGTGTTTTGCTGTGCCAGGGAGTTGAGGAAACACAGATTGGTGTCACTGAGGGCATGGTCAGTAGATGTGCACTGCCCTTGCGTGGCTGACACCAGCCCACAGTAACTGTGCCCATCAGTAATTCACATTTCTACTCTTTGCAGCCTCTCCAGAGCCCTGCCCAGCACAACCACAGCGAGGCATCCCGTGCTCTTGGGGCACCTGCAGTCAGGACCCCTGCCCAGTAAGGCACAGGTAAGTGATGGCATTAAACAAACATGGCCTTCTGCCTCTTTTAAGCCTTTTTTTTTTTCCATAGATCACCAAAGGTGAAAAGTCATTTAAGGACAGTCTAAGTAAGATTATTTATTGGGATAGAAGACACTGACGCTGTTTCTGTGTCACTTCTCTGTTAGCTCTGTAGATGTACCCCACATCTCACTGCTCTACAGAAAGGGGGAGTTGTTTCAGAATAATAATTGGTTTCAGGTGGGCATGGCCATCCTCATTCAAAGGATGGCATTTAACTAATTAAACCCTTTTTCTGTAGAGCCAGACTGAAGTGGTTGACAGTTGCTGGTGCAAACTTACTTGGTTCCTGAAATTCCTGCTCCATCTCAGCCTGGACACACTCAGAGAGCAGCACCAGGAGCAGGTTTTACTTGTGGCTCTTTCTCCAGTTCTGAAGAACACGAGCGCAGCTGGACATCCAGCATCACCTCTGGGGAGGCCTGGGATCAGGGGCCAGGAAAGGGACCCAGCACTGGTCTTTCACTTGTCAAGATTCACATGGAGGAACAGGGCACCACCTCACTCCCCACTCCAGCTGTTTCCAGGACAGACAGACGTGATTCAGAAAGTTACACCTGGGTTTATTTCATGGTTACACATATCCTCCAGCATTGCCTGTGCTATATATTATTTGTAAGCAGAAATGGCTGCAGAAGTAAAGCAAAGCAAGAACCCCCACTATAAAAAGCACCTTTGGTTTAAACTTTGCCCTGTGATTCTCTGTGCTGTGTTGCTCAGACAGCAATTTACTCATGAATACTGAATTATTTTGAAAGAATTTCTGTGGGCCTCGAAGGAGCAGAAATTGTTAAAGGCAGGTTGGTCTGATGAGGAAATTTAGTCCATGAGCTATTTTCATACCAAGTTCTTCTATATAAAAATATACCAAGTTCTTGAAAATTTCAAGCACAGCAAATAAATACTTACAGCTGGTTTGGGGTTGAACATACATCACCTCTGAGGTCAGAAACATTCTCTAAAATGACCCTTTGCCCAACCATTCACTGAACTGGATCCTGCTGGCACTTCCCAGTTCAGAAGCTGGGTTTGAGGAGTTGTGTGGCTGCTGTAAGTTAAGTAATTGTCCTTTGTGTCTGAGCTTCCCACACAGAGGCAGGTGAAGGTAAGCAGTTTTCAGTGAGGTATTTTTGAAGTTCCCTGGAAGGTGGTTTCTGGGGTTTTTATCCTCTCCAGATAGCAGCCTGAGACTGCACTGGAAGCAGCCCCATGATGTGTGGGACTGCCATGGGAGCCATTCCCACTCTCAGCATGAGGAGACAGAACAGAGGAATATGGCTACCAGGACAAAGAGGAAAAGGTTTCAGGTGTCTTCCTTCTGTCTCTTAGATCACTTCAGGACTGGCTGAAGAACAGGAGTTAGTCAAGAAAAGCTGAAGTCCACAGAGGGATGGCATCCTGCTCTTCTGAGGGAAAAGTGAGTCCTCAGTGTGTTCCCAGACCTCCTCACTGTCAGACTGAACCTTTTCTGGGTGCAGAGTAGCAGAAAGTAAAGCAGTTGTAGTGGCTGTGAACTCCTTCCAACAGCTCTGATGGCCCAGAGGTTTCTTTCAGTCCTGAAAGAAATAAGCAGCTAGTTAGAAACAAACTTAGTTCTGTTTTAAAACAAAACTACCTGTTATAAAGCATGTTACTTGTTTTCTTCAGTAGCCTGAGTGTCTGAGGGAACCAGTGAGCCCTTCCTCTGTACCAAACTCTTTATTTTGTAACTTTTTTATTAATGTTTAATTGCTTGACATTTCACTAGGTTGCAATGCAACTTGGTGAGTTTTAGGCATCAGTAATAAAACTCTGCTGTTTGCCAATGACCTCTGCCTTTTACTTACTTAATCCTACTGCAGGTAACCTACACCAGGTGTGTTACCCTTCGACTGTCTCTTGGTTGTATCCCCCCAAACCACACTGTTAACCCCCATGTCCATGTGCTGCTGTGTCATTCCACCTGCAGGCACCAGAACACCTGGTTGGGGACCAGCACCTTGACATTTCTCCAGCCTTGGACTTTATTTTGAGTCTGGTGTAAGCAGACTCAGCACCACGAGCCCGTGCCCTGTAACAGAAATAGCTTCTGCAGCCCTATTTTCTATTTGCACTCTGAATCACTGCCTAAAGTGTCACCACTTTTCTGCATTCCTGGGTTAGCCACTGCCCTGGCTCAAGCTGAGTTTCGGGGATGTGGTGTTTAGTATGTTTTAGTAATAGCTTGGAGTCATTAATGCTGCTGATTCAAAGGAGCACTGCCCACCCAAAACCCTCCTCACCTGAGAGCACAACAGGGACACATCCCTCCCACCTGCCCAGTACAGCAACACCCTGGGGACTGGTGTTAGAGCAATGCTGCTGCTTTTGTTCAAGGTAATTGTGTGCCAGAGAAAACAACAAAAGGTTTTATTTGTACCCCACCCACCAGTTACTTCAGCTTGCAAGAGCCGGGACAGTTCCTTGACTGTGATCAGTCACTTTGCTTTTTGCAGAGTTGAATTACCATGAGAGCCTCTCTCAGCTGCCAGTTTGGCCAATACTTGCTTTGGAGTTAAACTGAACACTTGGGGATTGCTGGGAGGGAACAGCCCCTCTCCAGGTAAACTTACGTGTTTCCATATCTCCCCAGTCCTCTCAATGACAATAGTTTGGGATTTATTGACAGGTGATGTGACCTTGTAGTCATCAGACAGGAGGCCCAGAATAGGGTACTGATTCCTGTACCTGTGAAAGAGAATTGCCACCTTGTAGAATGAGATCTGCAGACCTGTGTCCAAATCCCTAACTGTGACCTTGCCCCACAGCCCTGCCAGTCCTTAATCCCCAAAGAGCTGCACAAAGCCAGCAGAGACATTTCAGTGTCACTGTGACACATTGGACCCCTCTCCCAGTGCTGAACCCTCCCTGTACAGGAAAACCTCTCTTGTCTTTTTCCCCTTTAGATTGAACGGGCAGGATTAAGACATTTGCAGGAACAGCTTGATTAGCAGAGAGGAAAGAAAGGAGAACCCAAAGGATGTATTTTTAAGGAAGGTGAATAACCACGTTACTTTTTAGTGATGATGGCTGTCACTCCAGGGGACTGACTGCCCGATAACTTCTCGTGCTTCAGTCTGAAGAGCTCCTGGGAAAACCAACAGAAAACATTCACAGGAAGTAATGTTTTCTGAAGCATCAGTTCAGTAAAGTCGCTACAAAATATTTGCAGAAATTCTTCCCAGGGAACAGTCTGAAAAGTCTGTCCTTCCAGAAGGCTGGCAGAGGATTCAGTTAGAACAAATCCTAACCCTGATTCCTGAGCCAGGGGAGGACAAGTGACTTCCCAGTGAGCTTCCACCTACACAGGACCTGGAGGTTTTAATACACAAACTCTTAAAAGAGAAACAACTTGTGTTATTTTACCTCTTGCTGTTGTTTAATAAAAGCCTCTTTGTCCTCCAGCATCGATGTCAGTTCGTGCAGCCTCATTTGCAAGTCACTGTTGCTCCCCTCCCTCCTGGAGATGTCCTGCTGGAACTGGCATAACTGGGACTGCAAAACAGGCAGGGAGCAGAGCAGTCAGGAGTGTGTGCTCCAGGCAGGAAGGGTGTATTTTTTCATTACCAGCATGAACAGTAAGACCCAGTGATTTCCAACTCAGAAAGTTGAGCAGCACAGTAAATTCAGAAAGTGTTGATTGGACTGAATTCAACCCAGTATCAATTTAATAGTTTAATAACTCAGTCTTTTGACTAATTTCTTACCTTATCAGGACGCACAAGATAACCCCTTAGGAAATCCTGCTAATTGGACTGATCCCTAATTTCTACATTTAACAAATGCTGGGGTTTCTTTTAATCACGGTTTTATGTTCTATATAAGGGTTTCTGAGCCGTCATTACTGTCTATGAATAAAGTAACTGCAGAACCAAAAGATACCCAAAAGGTACCTGTGGTAGCTCATTCTTCTTGTTAAGGACAAGAGCAGCTCTTTTCCTGCTCCCACACATGTGCCAGGTGGAACCACTCACCCTGAGGCTGCGGATCTCCCGGTCCTTGTCCTCCCTCAGGTTATTGATCATCTCCACGTATCTGCTGGAGAGCTCATCTGTGGTGGTCTGGAGTGTGGGGCTGGAGCAGCTCTGCAGGAAATAAGTAGTTTTATTTGCATACTTTAATCTGTCTGTGAGTACCAGCTACTGCCCCCAGAGCAGACGAGCGTTACCTGCAGCTTGAGGCTCTGGATCTCCTGCTCCAGGGCCCTCTTGCCGTACTCCAGCTCCTTCAGCTGACAGTCCTTCTCGCCCTCGCTGAGCCGCAGCGACAGGAGCTGCTCCTCCAGAGAGCGGCACTTGGCAGTGCTGTCCCTCAGCCCTTGCTGGAAAACACACAGGGAATGAGTGCACGAGTTCTTCAAGGCAGTAACAGCACCACACTCACCGGGCAGCAGAGAATACCCAAAAGTCAGCAAACTGCCCAGTTTTTGGCTGACTGGAATTACGCTGAAATCTGAATTACATTTGGATTTACCTGCTGCTGACGATTGTTCTCCCTTAGAGAAGCCAGCAGGGTTTCATATTCTTTTACTTGAGAATCCTTAAAAGCCAAATCCTTCTTCAGTAAGACATTGTCGGTTTCCAGCTTCTGTGGGACAAAAGTGTTCACAGTCAACAGCTGCAGTTTTTCAGTAAACTCTTCCCATGAAGTGCAACACACTGAAGGGGTGTTCTAGAACTGAGAAAATAGTCAACATAGGACACCCTGCAGTGTCTGTGGCTTTGTGGGATCCTGGACACTGCTCTTCCAGTCTGCCCCAGAAAGAATTTAAACAGAAGCCAACAAAAACAAACAAGCAAAAACCCAAACAAAAACCTGAAAACAAACAAAAATCCCACCCAAGAAAACCCCCAACCAACCTAAAACTGAGACCTCCTTGTTCTCTGTTAAAGATGACAGTTAAAACACCCTCTCCCTAAACTTTGCATTTTACAGGAGAATGCTGTGACATTCCCAGTGGTGCCAGGCACTTGGGCTGGTGTGGGAAACATTTCTGCTTCCATAACAGCTCTCTGTATCCACAGCCACAGAGCTCCAGCTTCCAGACTGGGATGCTGTACCATCTGGAGCTGCCAAAGCCACCAGCACCATCCAACCTCCTCTGCTGCGTGAACAGAGTAGCCCCAGCCTGGATCCAGCACTGGAATGTCAGCGTTGGACTCCTGCTGCCAGGGAAAACAGGTGGATGAGCCCCGGGAAGGGAGGAACCTGCTCACCCCCAGGTCATCCTGCAAATGGCACAGCTCCTCACGGAGATTCTTGAAAGTGGAAAGCACAAGTCTCAGGGATTTATCCGACGTCGCTCTCATCTAGGAGGGAAAGAATGAAATGGATAATTGGGATTAATTAGCTCTGTTTACAAAATGAAATGGATAATTGGGATTCATTAGCTCTGTTTACAATATGCTTGACAAGAGGTAGAACAGAAACTGCTGTACAGCTGAAAATCAGTTTTAAACTACTGCACATCCTTTGAAGTGCCCTCAGTTTCTACAAGAAACACATTTTCATGCACTTTGTTCTGCAAATGCCATAGTTTTAAATTGCTGCCTTGCAACACAGGACAACACTCTAAAATGGAAGGAACAAGAGAGTAAGGAACTGCCTTTGTATACCAATAAAGGGAAAAATGAACGTGCTAATATTGCACGATCATTGTTTGAGCATTCAGAGCTTTATGCTTACACTGATTTAAAAAAATTACTGCCCTGCCTGAGAAGCCATGGAATGAGTCATGTTTGAAATCTGACAAGGCTTTGGGCTCAAGGGTGAGGGAATTTAATTAACATTTTTCAAAAATTTAAATTAAAAAAGTTAATGCAACCAACTCCTCCCATTAAAAGGAGAAAGATCCCAAAGATGAAAGGAGTCACCTGGATGAAAGAAAAAGACAGAAGTGCATCACAGCCAAGCACTGTTCTCCTTTGGAATGTTAATTTTAATGCCTGTGACAGCTGTCTATTGATTCAGGTGAAAACACAAGTTGTTGCATTTCATGATACATTTCTGGTATTTTAAAGAAGAAATACAGACTTTGAAAGGACACACAAGTAAATCCTTAAGTTGTGACTCACCTGGAAGGGCTGAATATTCTGTGCAAAAGCTATGTTTTTTACTGCCTGGACAAAAGTGAACCTTCCTGTCTGTTCCCTTGATTTGTTGCTCATCCCAGCTGAAGGATGCACTCGCAGTTCCATCCATGTGGGGATTGGCCCTTGTGTGATTTTTTTTATCCCCACTGGTGCCATTGTGTGACTGAGGCTTCAAAAATCACATTTCTGTTGTCACTTACCTCTTTGTTTTTTAATTAAAGCAGAATTTCAGTTTTGACTTCTGGTTTTGTTGGTTTTGTTGTTAAATACACTATAGAGCAGTTTAAAAGAAGGAATTAAGTCAAAATATTTGAATTTAGACTATAAAACTTAAGTAAAACTCCACTCAGCAATTACTTGGGTGTTGATGTCCATCTTCCTTCTAAGAGAAGCTGGAAGAGATTTGGGAGCTCATCTTGTCCCAGCCTCCTGCTTAAAGCAAGACAAGCTCTGAGCTCAGACCAGGTTGCTTGTTCACAACTTCATTTCCATGGATATTTTTTTAACAGGAAGCAACTCCAAGGTGCAGCTCCCAGGTAGGATCACCCTACCCCCACCTGAGGGAGCCTGGCTCAGGACACACCTGCAGAGCAGTGCAGGTTGTTCTGGATCCTATCCCAACATTCCTGCCTGGCAAACACAGCACTAAGTGCTGAGCTGTGCTTGTGGCACTGGGTAACCAACAGCCCCATTCCTGCTGTGGTTCCATTTGTAAAGGGTTTTGTCCTCCTGATCTGTTCTTTAGCTCCCTCCCCAGCCATGGGGTTGGGCTGTGAGCAGCTGGGATGCAGGCTCTGCTCCTGGCTGGCATTTAGTTGTTTCCTAGCACTGCAATACTTTCTGCCATGTGTTTTCAGCGCCTACTATTTGTTTTTGGCTTTTAAAGCAAAGTATTAATACACAACACAGACAGAAAGATGAAAGGTCTCAGTTCTGCTGTCAGTGATCAAAAGCCAAGACAGTTTCCAGTGAAACTGCAGGAAAGCACCAGTAAAGCTCAGTCTAAAAAATGTGGACTCTGGGTCCAGCTGCCACACTTCCCTCATGGCCACCTGGACCATTCCATCCCCTGCACACCAGAAAAATGGAATGAGGGGAGTACAGAGTGAACTCTGTTATGTACAAAGTCCCTGCTGTGAGTAAGCCAGCTGCTGTTTCAAGTTCCTGCTGGCTTCCACACTCCCATACCTGGAGGAGATAACGAATCTGCTGCTTTGTTGCCTCAGACAGTCCTTTGGGGATTAATTCTTCAATATCTTCAGTCTAAGCAAAGAAGGGAAGAAAGGGGAGACATCTTGATTAAGAATTTTGCCTGGTAGATAGTAATGTGGTTTCTTCATTAATTACACAGCCCTACTATGAAAAACATGTTTAGAACAAGGCAAATAAGATTGAAAATAGATTAAAGAATATTTAAAAAAAATTCCAGTCTTTTATATTTGGGGCATATACAAAGTGAGATGAAGTGGTACACAAAGCATATATTCAAATCCTCGAGTTTCACATTTATTTTAAAAACAGTATTCAAACCAATCCTCTCCCAAGAAAAAACAGCTGATGCTACAGCAACTCCCCGCAGTTTATGGTGGGGTCAAATTTCGTGTTTCTGACCAGTGGACAGACTCATTGAACACGAGGTGACCAACAGGAGGTTGTGCCAGCTGTTCAATGGCATTTGCTGTCTGCAGTTGAACCCTGGACAAGTATTTCTGCCACACATACAATGCCTTTAAAGGTGCAGCTCATGCTGCTCGGCAGCAGCTTTACTGGCAAGAGAGTGAAGGATCCTTTTCAAAAGCACACTGTGGAATACAGGTACCTGTGCAAGTTGTTTTCCACGGAAACCATTATTGACACTGCAGGGAAGACATCTAAAATTTGACTCTCGTACTGGAATAATGCAAATTATTGAAGTTTCAGCATTATCACATTTGCAAATACCTGCTTGGCAGTAGGTGTCAGGCTTTGAATATTAATGCCAAGCAGGAATCATTCACTGACAAAGACCAACCTCCTTTATGTGAAGTGGCTTGAGCTTGGCTTAATTCCCTTGCAGCCCCCCCCCCACTGGTATCAGCACTGACATCAGGGGGCAGCCTGTGCTCACCTGAGATGTGAACTCGATGTCATGGTTCCTGTAAAACACAAAATCCAAAGAATCCATTAACAAAAAGCTGCTTGAGAACTTTAAGAATTCACACCCACATTCAGCGCTGAAAGCCTGTCTATAAAACGCTGAGCAGGGAAGGGTCTTCATCAGCTGAAGAGCTGTTACCTTCCCTC